TACTGTACCTGTTAAGCATGTTATTGCTTCTTGGAGGAGTTTTGGTTTTTCTCTCATATGAGAACATTTCATACAGAGACATCTGTAAAAAAAATAGAGCACAAACAAATGCCAATTTACCAGTCTTTCCACTGAAGTTGCCGTTGCGGAGGAGTTTTGGTTTTTCTCTCATATGAAAACATTTCATACAGAGACATCTGTAAAAAACCAGAACAAACAAATGCCGATTTACCAGTCTTTCCACTGAAGTTGCCGTTGCAGCAAAATATTCGTTTGTGGCACCATGATACGCGTGCGAGTTTTTTTAAAACGAGGAAGAACGGTCAGAGCACAAGAGGAGTTGTACTTCTACAGACCTGCTTGCCTGGTGAGTACATCGGTCCTTTCGTGTCTCGGGAGCGCTGGGTTGACAGCACAGGTAAGGGTCTACTGCTGTAATAAAATGAGTATCTTAAATCAGACCAAGTCACTCGTACAGCGACACCGCCATTCAAAAAATTAACGTTTTGCTAAGCAAACTGATTTTATCTCAGTACAGGGATCTCTTTAGCAAATTAGAAGTTCTTATTGATTTTTCATTATTACAATTGCCATTCTTTGTCAGGACAACCTTGAGAACCTCAAAGCCTGTTAATACTAAAATTTGAACAAGAATCTTGTCTTAGGAAATAAAAAAGATTTTTGGGTGACAAAAATGGAATTTGTGGCAACACCTGAAAAAGATAGTATTTTAAAGACCCCATTACCAGAAAAAACCACAATGAGTACAAACTTTCTGGTTTGCCCTAAGCATACAGCTTTCTGTTGCCTACTGTTTAACAGGCTTTTTTTTTTCCTTCTAGAGAACAGTAGCTGAAAAAGCCACAACAGGAAAATATTAGAAGACAGAAGAAAATTAGTACTTTCTCATTCCCACATTTAGTTTTTCACAACACTAAGACAATCTAGACACCAGAGCAGGCTCCTAAGGCCAGCACTGAAGAGTTTTCTTCGAATATAATTTCTCATCACAACAAAGCTTCTGCAACATCCAGTTCGTTATCTTTCACTTGAAAACGGTCAGAATTAGTGTTTGTGAAGACCTACACAACGCTTTTTGTGAAATATAGCCAGAAGCAGACGATGACAGGCAAAACTTCACATGCTTTTTTCCTTCCAACTATATACTCAGATGGCAGATACCCAGGCACCTCTGAAAACACACCCCACTTGTGCAGACATACTCACCAAGACTTTCAATAGCTAACATTTCACAACAAGAAATACACAGACTATTACAAATTTGGGCTGAATCAATTCTTGTTACAATAAAGGCGTTTCTGTTTCCTTCTCAGCTTACATTTTATGAAAAAGTAGGTCAAATGCATAAAGGGGAAGACAAGTCACTTGCTGCTCTATTAAAGTCTCACCGTTTAACTCAACACCAGCAAGAACCAGACTCTTGATGGATTTTGTACCATTTCTCATCTTTAGCTAATGACTTTCTCCATGAGGATGCACTGCCAGAACATGCTTCCAGGCTACCCAGAATCTTTTAAGACACAGCCTTTCTAACTAGTTCTGGTAGTCAGAACTCCATTTCCCCACTAACCACCCCAGTTACACTACTGTCCAATTAGCTCCACTGAAGACCTCAGTGACGAGGCACTACCAGATTTAAAGTGCAAGCCACCCACGCTCCAGAGAGCTCAACAACACATCACCTTTTATACCAGCAGTCAACAGAAGTGTCCATCCAGGCACTGACTCTTTTTGTGTTACAATACTGCTTAAGGGCAAGCTTTGGCTAAAAAAATTATCAAGGGCACAAAGTCTCCCGTCCAACCTAGCCCTCTCCAGAAGCAGGCTTCACAAACACATGATCTGATGTTAATAAAAAAAGCCTCAAGAGAACCGATGAAGGATAATTACCTTCTAGGAGGTTTCTGCAGATTAAGATCTTCACTGGACTGTAATAGAAGACTTGGATTTGAGTCCAATCCAGCTTTTAAGAGCCAATTCCTGCCCTGTAAGAAATATACCATATGGCTTCGCTATAGGTTATGCGGAGAAGCCATATATGATGGGTAGTTTCACAGCAAAGAGTACCTTCTGGGTAAGCACACATGTGGTTGCAAACTTGTTATGGCCAACGAGTTCTCTGAGGAATCCTTCCATCATTAACTGTTGGCAGAGCAATTTCCACCAGTTCTCCGGCCAGTCCTTTCCACTACCAAAGAGAGGGTGTCTTCGGTATCTGTCTGGCAAGCGTTGAGAATTCTGAAATGAGTGAAAGAATGGGTCAGACTTCTCCAGTCCTTGTGAAACAAAGTTCCCAATATAACCAGTCAACTAAAAACCTGAGATGCAAGGAGCACTTTCTCGAGGACATTTCTCCACAGAAGAGCTTGACAAGTCAGTCAAACACCAAACTATTTTATTCAAATTAACATAACACCCATTACAATACCCACACCTACAGCAGCTCAGCAGTGAGGGGATAAACCACGAAAAGACATTTCACCTCTACTAACCCGATGCACTCCCACGCTTTCTGCCAAGGCTGCAACAAGATCACGGCTTTCTTTTGTAGTAAGAAGACAAACCTACACTTAGATCACTGAACTTGAAACCTCAGTATAGGAAGGGAGATGAGGTTACAGGAACGACCCAGCCATCCACCACAGTCAACAACATCCTCTAATATAGTTTGTATTCAACCAGTTCAATCTTACACTGCACGAGTTCAAACAGAAACAGTTTCCCATTCTGTTTTTAATTAAAGAGAGTCTACAGCAGTAAAAAGAAATCGAGAAGTCTTGTTTAAATCCAAGGACAGGGGTACAAAGCCAGACGCAAGCTCACTACCCTTTCTCCTCTGGCCTTCATCCCAAAGGGGTTCGTTCTTTGTTTTTTATTCTCTTTTAACAAATTGCTGATTTACCCATCTCTCAGCAACGGTTCAGTCTAAAAAAGCTGATTAGCTCCTGTCTGATGAGTTTGCACCTCCCCAAACTGAGGGCCCACATAGATAGCAGCAGGCTCAAGCCCCTTTCACAAGAGAAACTCTTGGCATGAGCCTGAAAAGCTGAGAACTTTCCTTAAAGAGTAAAGTAAGAGGGAATCAAGCATCAGCAGGTAAAAGTGTCTCAGACAGAAAGGAGTTTCAGTTTATTGCTAGCATACGAAATTGCCAGGAAGGTAGTCTTCAGACCCTGTTACTTGTAGACTTGCTGAATGCCCCCTCCCTTAGGAAAACCACATGGTCAAACGAGTATTTTTTGCTTTATACACACACACACACACAGAAGACAGGAAGAGAAAGAAATCCAGGACAGGCAGCAGCGAGCATACTGTGGCCTGCTCAGCTCCTTAACTTCTCCAGGGATCACCGCAAAGGGCAATTTGGAGAATTTCAGACAGCCAGAGAGCCGCTAACCTGCACGCAGAGGAAGGAGGGGCTCATTTCTGAGCTCTATCAGCAGGGGTGGGAAGCCGGAGCAGCCCGCCGCAGGCAGGACAGACACAGCTTGCTGCCAGATGAGACCAGGGCAGAGTCCTGATGATGAACACAAGCGAGTCACCTATTCAGCAGGCTAAGGCAAAGCACCGAGCCCCACGTCCTCTTCTAGAGAGCCCTCATTCAACTGGTAACACACATTAAAGCATGAGGACACTCCTAAGCTTTCAGTTATGCCCGTTACATTAATGAGTCTAATGGCTGCACCTTTTCAGAGCACGGTTTTGATGTAGAGAACACACTCAGCAATGGAAGTATCTCTAAAAGAAGTAAGCAGCAAAACAGTAAACTTTACATCCACATTTGGGCTAACCATCACTGAAGTTTCACACAAGACTGACCAACACAAGACAAAATAGCTACTTCAACTTGGTACAAAATAAATGCCAGCAGTACTACTAACAGCCACTCACAACCAGTCACTAAGACTACGAATAGTAAAATATTTGCTGCAAGACCTTACAAATTCCCCTGTTTGCTGATCACAGAAGAATATGCAACTCTTAAGGTCTCCTTTATTTAGCAGGGGTAGTATAATATTTCTGTCCATGCAGCTCTAATACAAAGTTTCCCAGAGGAGCTTGCTTGTTTTCATCATCTGACTCAGCTTTGGAATATTAAGCGAAACACTGTCTCCCTTGTTGCCCACCCAAAGGTCACTGGAGGCCACCTGGACCTTGCCAAAAGACACCACTAACTTCAAAAAGCATGAATTCTCCATAAACTATACACAAGCAGCACACTACTCAGCCTCAGACTCATGTAGCATGTAAACTTATGGTGATATTGCATACATCCATTCTAGAGTACACATTCATGCAACAAAGAAAAGGAAACACCTTTTTTAAAACATATTTAGCTCAGAAAAGGGTATTATTGTCAGCAGTATAGGGTTATTCCATCTGCAGCGCAAATTTGGCATCATCACTTCCTCCAACAACGTCTAATAAATTATCTATCAAGACTATTAAAATCTGTAACAGATTATTTTTCCCCTGGACACACACTTGTGTGACAGTTAGGAATTAACTTGCCTATTCCAAGTAATGAAAAGGCACATCATTCCCTCAGTTTTATCTAGAGCTACAGGTGATTTGCCCCCTCAAGCTGTAAACCTAATAAGTGATTCTGTTCTTACTCATTCTGTTCTGCTGAATTTCTTGCCTAGTATTTAAAGAAGATTTGAAGTAAAAGTACGTAGAAAGTTACATATATTCATTCTAGTATTCTACTCCCCATCTCACTGCTCCAAGTCAGCCAGCAGCACAAAGCTAGAACACAAGCCATCATTTGCTTTACAAGTATAAGTACGTAGAAAATTACATATATTCATTCTAGTATTCTACTCTCCATCTCACTGCTCCAAGTCAGCCAGCAGCGCAAAGCTAGAACACAAGCCATCATTTGCTTTATTCACACCAACCAACCGATTACCAAGGAAAAATGTGTTTTATTCTTCATTCTGAAAAGGCTGTTCCTTTTGGGACAGTGGAAGTGATGCATCTTCATGAAAAAAAAACCCACCACACTTAACTGTCTCTACAAAACCATGAAAGTCCCCATAAAGAAAACAAAAGCTCAAGCCTCACAGGAAGAACTTAAGAACCTCTGCCGATACTTGGGCTGGCATTCACGTTTTTAACGGACAACTGTCACTAACCAACTCAAAACCACCCACTAAATACAGGACAGCTCCACACAAGGCAAACAACAGGGACTATTTTTAAGCTGGACTCTTGGGCCATAGAGGACTGAACGTTGCGCTGTTATAAACAGAATCGAGGCGGCAAGAGCTCTGAGGCAGAAACCATTCCTCGGCCGTACGTGCACAAAATTAAGTACGACATGCCTAGGAGGGCTGCTATTTTTATGGCTGTTACCTTGAAAATCAACAATCCGGTTTGCCACATGGGAAGCACTGCTGAGCAGCTTCAGAAAGTCTAGAGTCTCTCTCTGTACAGATACCCAGCTCTTTGAGAAAAATATATGCATGTACACACATTTACATGTATGTGTACAAATGTCTCGTTTGTTATGTCAATAAAGAGGGACACAGTAACCATCCCTCCACTCTCAAAACACACACAAGGATTTTTACTATCACTTACAGACCCTCGGAGAAACAGAATGGGAAGTCTAGTTCCGAACTTCTCCTCCAGGGCGCTCACTGCAGACAGCAGCTGATACGACTGCTTCCCAAAGTCCTGTAAACCACCCTCTGAGTCACTGGAGACCGTAAAACAAGAGGCTCTGAAACACAAAGAAAACCACGCTTAACACACATAGACAGTATTTGAAAGAAAGGGAGAGTATTTGACTTCTATCAAGTGATCACTAAACAAAATACACCCTTCAAGTTACATGAATATAAACAGTTAAACATGTTTAAATGTAAAAACCAGGACTGAAAACACGAGACCAAAAGTCAAAAATCACAACTGCCCAACCCAACGGTGAGCAGTTCTGCACAGTACTTGCTGTGACAGAACAATGTTGTCTCAGCAATCTTCTCAATTTGATATTTGAATATTTGGACTGCTTTAGGCATACGAGACCCTTCCTTAATTGCATCTAACAGCAAAGAGATTTTTGTCTGTTTTTTACGTAACATAAAAGGGAAAAACCACAAGCAAAGAGCAATCCCATTAAAGATTTTCTAGGGTTTGTAAATGCATTTGTTACTGACTAGAAGAATCCATCGAAAAGTTATTGGCACATGATGAACTACTTAAAACTATTTCAGTTCTGCAACAGAAATTCATTGTGTGGCTCTTCACTGGCACAGCAACGTGACTGCCAAGACTGAAATTATGATCTTCCAAGTTCTCCTCTTGGCTAGTTTCAGTAGAGGCCAGGCCAAGATCCTTGAGCATACAGACAATGTACCTGAATTAATAACATTTTTCCAGAAAGTAACACAGCAGAACATCTTGTCTCTGATCAGGAACCATCACACTACCAGCAAGAACAAGGAATCCTTTATTACAACGTCAGGGAAAGCGTGTACGAGCACACAGTGAAGACCAAGGCAGGTGTTTCTGCTCATACCGTGTGACTACCGACCCCCCGGTTCCCTTCAGCCCATCTATGCTATTATTTGCAACGCTAAATGAACATATGTCACACACCGTAACAGGAGAACAGCTCCCTTAACACTCCGGCAATTTAACCTTAGACACATGGTATCGCTCTCCGCTTCCGAGTGTTTTCTTTTGGGATTAATTACCTAACAGGACTTAAACAGATGAAGAAAAGTGTATTTCACAGCCTAAGAGCACAGCTTTCCTTACGGGCTTTCCCACAGCCTAGCTTAGAGCTTACAAGCTGCCTCACGGTTTGCTCAACTATTTCGGAAAAGGTTAGAGACAGTTCTTCAAAGATAAACTTCAGGCTGAACATCTGCAAAATCTGACGTAGAAAGAGTCAATTCTTCTCTGTAATTTGCCGTGTAAGACAGCCTGAGAGAACATAACCTCTTCTATCAGTCTCCAGGGAAGAAAGCTTACCTGGACCTGCAATTATCACAGCATTCTTCTGTGCCCATGATGCCGGAGGAAACCTTTCGGAGTTGTCTGTCTTCAAAATGCGACAGGATGATTCTACCCAAGGGCATATGGAGAATTCAAGCAAAGACCAGGAATTGACACATTAAATTTATTGCAGAAAAAAAGAGTTGAAATCAGCATCATTAATTAATTCACCAGGGAGCCAATTATGTGCCCTTGCATTCTCTAAAGGGAAAGTTTGTTTTTTCAAAAGTAAGGAAACACTTGATGTATACATATAAATATGCTGAAGGCCGTATTTTTTGATATCGCTTTTTAATTTAAAACATGTTTGCAGAACACATTCCGAGTATAAGATGCCTTCTGGTTACAACCTCCAGTTGTGACCAAGTCTCATGGCTCCCAGAGCCACCTGAGATCAGTGAGCATTAACTAAGACTCCAGTACTCACTTCCTCCTGCAGCTATTTGACACAAGGTACTTCTCTATTTTTGCCAACATCTTCAGTTTGTACAATCGGAACTTTTCATTGCGGATCTCGCTTAGAAGATGTCTGTCAGTCAAAAGGAAAAATTAAGAGCCTTAAATCACGACCGCTATTCCCCAACCCGTACCCAAATTACAATACACTAGACAACTGTCTCAGTCAAATCCACCAGGAAGAACTAGAAAAAATACCCTACTAAAACCAGATCCAAACTGCCCATTTCTCCACAATCTTCATCCTTACAGCACAGGGCATACCCAGAAAAGCACCTTATTCATATTATTCTAAATATGACCATTATTCTGAACAGGGCAGAAGGAGAGGTAGAGAGCTTCTTCCAACCTCACAGGTTACTAAGCCTCAGAAATCTGTGCCGCAAGGCAGAGAGGAAGGAGAAAAGGGCAGAAGGTAACTTCTCTCACTCTCTAATCTTGCTAACTCTGGCAAGTTGCCAATGCCACCGCCGGATTACAGATTATGCCAGGATACCATCGCTCTTTGTTCCAGAAACTCAGAGGTGGCAAGTCAGGACACGCCTACTTGTTGCCTAATTTAATATTTTCTATAGCGATCACTGGAAGCATCCAAAAGATGCATGGGAGTGGGTCATGGGTGTATGAAACCCTCGCTGTGCCCATGCGCTCAGCTGCCGCGGGAGCCAAACCTGAGCTACCATCCGCACCACGCTCGCTGTGCCACACGGCGTCGGAAACAAGCCAATACCGCAGGTGTCGGGCGCCACGTTCACGCAGCTACACCATTCCAGCTCAAAGTTGAGCAAAGCAAGTTTCTGCCTGGAAAAAGGCGCAGGGAACTTCACAGACTCTGGCAGCGTGCTGACACAAGTTCGAATGACCGAGTCGAAACATTCCTGTGGTCCTGTAACAGCTATGGACTAAGTTAACAGGAGGCATCTACTGCCAGGACTCTCCCAGCCAGAAGAGGAAAACACCACATATTTCTCCATTTAGACATCTAGATAGCAGAGATCAAATTAGCTATGCAGCATCAGCACTCTTAAGGAGTAATGATGGGTCTAAACTCAGGTCAGATGCATCTAAAAACAGGTCTGGTGATTTACAAGACAAGTGACCAAGCTTTATCACTGCCTGCCTTGCAGAGCATCTTCAGAAAGCCCAACTGGAACAAGGACATTAGTGCACTGACTCATGGATTGTCTTTTCTAGACAAATACGGCATACTTGGTATTGTGTGTATGCAGTAAAGGACTCTGAACCGTTCTGATAAATACATCGCCTTGACAACCAAACCCACCGTGCTCCTCTTTCTTTTGGTATGTTTTGGCTATCCATGTCAAAGCAGCCCTCTTCAGACATTTACCTGTTAAAAATCAAGTCTGTGGCAGTCCACAGGACATGACAAGAAGCAGGAAGCCCATCGCGACCAGCTCTCCCAATTTCTTGGTAATAGGATTCCATCTCCTTAGGGGCACCGTAATGAATAACCATGCGGATATCTGCTTTATTGATGCCCATTCCGAAAGCCACCGTAGCCACAACACACTACAAAACAGGAGGCACATGACAAATGTTTTGAAACGAGCATCAAGACACACCTGGATTACCATCACTCGGTGACAACTTTTTGCTACGGATTCAAAATACAGCCTAGATTACAATGGCTTCAAACTCACACTCGACTTGCACAGCACTATTGTTAAATCTGATTTTTGTCAGAGCACGAGCACGGGATTATAAACATGACAGCGATGACGCCTTGTGGCAAATACTCAAGTGTTTTCAAGCAGCTATTCTCAAACAAAAGGCAGAAAAAAAACTTATCCTGAAGAGGAACACAAGAAGTTCCCAGATAACTCTTTGCCTGCTTAGCTGCAGGAAGAAGAAAGCAGCTCCAGAACTAGTGATGATACTGTTCCAGCTGCCCCTATTTTCCTCAAATGCTATGCACTTTGAAAGACTTACTGAAGGAATTTGAAACATAAACCAGGAATCCTATTACTGTCAGCACAGACGAGCAATTTCTTCACCCAGAATTAGACACAAATAGGATACACATGCTAATATTACCAAAAGTCTCTCTTTCACCCGCAACTCTGCGACTATAAATAGGACCAAGTGGACTTTATTTCCTACATACCTGAATTTCATCCCTCATGAACCGGTGATGGATGTCTCTCCTTCGTTCGATTCCCATACCAGCATGGTATGCGCCACAGGCCACGTTCAGTTTAACTAACACGGACACGACCTGATCGGTGGCCTTTCTCGAAGGGCAGTAGATGATAGTGGGGCCTTCAAACTCGTACGCGGAACTGCTGTAAATAATAGCAACATGTAAAAGACACAGAACCGAAGCCGCTCTTCTGCACAAAGTCTGCCTTTTCAGCTAGGTTCACTCAAGGCAGCTTTTCCACGAGTCTACCTTCTCGGGGATTCAGAAATTGAAACAGATTTTAACCCGTCCATTTGTACGCAAATCGTCCGTCCTTTGGAAAAACGAACTTGGTAGTTACTTGGTGCTCCTAAGTTTATTTTGCAAAACACACAAGATTTTGGTCTCTGTAGAAGCATCAGGATAAAGGCCTCCCAAATTCCTTACAGTCATCAGGAAATCTGCTTTTACAGCTGTCACTTTTCAAAGGTCTGTATTTACTTAACAAGGTCCAAGCAAGCCACGAGAAGTTTGTTTATATTGCTGTAGAGGCACACCTCGTAGCTCGCGTCAAGAACAGGGCTGGAACAGGTAATGCCACCGGGTCTGCTAACAGCAAAGGACTGCAGTTCTGCCGCTCAGGTTAGCTTTATCAAAAAACAATCTCGCCACAGATTTATGATGGACTCGCACACATTTTATACAACACTTTCAGGAAAGTTACCCGCCAGCCAATCCATCATCATTCAAATTATTCCGGTGTCAGCAGGTCCTCTGAAGATCAAGTGATCCTGAAGCTCCTTAAGTCAGCCACATGCAAACAGCAAAAGTCCATCACCCCTTGCCTCAACAGCCTTCTTTTACATTGGGAGAGGAGGTGGGCACAACACCACGGGACATGACACAATAAGCAACTAGCCTGACAAAGCCAACCTACCAATGAAGTCCGGGCTCCTCCTCACCACACCTGTTGAAGACTGCTACCAATTCTTAGTACATGCCTCCAAAACGCTAAAGCCTAGTTGAGGCATCAACAAAACCAGGCTTAAATCCTTACCTTCCTTTCCTAGTAAGGAACTGCTTCAAATCCCTAAGGATATCTCCACTTTGTCGTCCAACTTCTAAGTACAGGTTAGGTCTGTCAAAACTAGTACACGTGACCTGGGGATTCTTCAGGTTCAGACAATTCACTATGTCTTCTCTAATCGATGGACTTGCAGTTGCAGTTAAAGCAACAACGGGAACCTGTGATCAAAAGGATAACAAGAACAGGTCTGAGAGATCTGATTTTTTTTTAACCAAAACCCATCAATCAGAACTGAAATAGCATGTGAGCAGGCACTTGAATCTCTTTACAATCACTGGATCAGCTCAGCTATTTGAAAAAGAATATTTAGCTTCCTAGAGCTCTGGTCTACACTATTCAGGAGAGTAGACGGGGACAGAACGCTGGTGACGTATGGGTTTTATTCTGAACGGGTGCTTTCTTTAGTTACATCTTCAACGAGTCTACAGTATTTTTCTGATGTGGTGGGCTAAATTCAGGGAACATAGGACGAATCTTCCAAGATCAGCATGTAAAGTTCAGGTCCAAATTTTTAAGCTTATGCAATAGATGCTTGAGGAGTGTCTAGAAATCACAGTTGCTCGCTCTTGCGAGTCGCTCAGCCACTCCGTTTTAAAAAAATAATCCCTCAGTATTAAACCAAGCAGCCTAGGGACATCATCTTCTACAGCATAAGAATCCAAAGTCATTTCATTTGCAGGAGTTTCTGGTCATCCAGGTTTAAAATATCCTTCATTTGAGCACTTGGAAAGCTCCATCATTGACAAGGACTGCGTAACTCCAAACCAGCACGGTAAGTACACCCAAAGAGGAACATTAAAAGATTGCCATTTCAAACCATCATCTAAAATGAGATAGCACCCTTCTCTTACACTGAAATCAAACATAAACACCTCACCGATGGCAGAGCCTTCTTTAGCGAGCCTAAACTTCTAAAGGAATTTCTGAAGTCGTGGCCCCACTCGGAAATGCAGTGAGCTTCATCAACAGCTATGAGGGTAATTCCTGAGGGTGGGCACAAAACCACAGGACAGACACATTAACAAGACAAACCAGCACAGGAAGCGACCAATACAAACACCCCATTCCACTCCATTTCAAGCTTTCCTGACAAGGCACCAGCAGTCCACTTAATTTTATTTCTGGAATGTCTTCTCCTGTACCGACTCCCCGGTTTCATTTTTATAATGGCCTCTTACGCAGAGAGGCCAAAGAGCTTTTACAGACTCCCCCACCATCACCTCTGCTTCCTTCTCCAAGCTCCACATCTCCAACGTCCCTCAAAACGGGTCAAACCCCCTCAACTTGAGTACAGATATCCCATTCTAATCCGCATGTTCAAAGCGCCCAAGTGTCAGAGAGGCCAAGCGCACAGCTTCCACTCCAGAAATTCAGATGGTCCATCTTCTCCGTAGATAGTCCTCCCTGCCTACAGCACTAGAAGTTCAGTTCCTTAATAAAGGGAAATCTTCAAGTTGACGTACCTTGAATTTACCCTACTAGGAGAGATGCATCATCTTTGATGAAAAGAGTATTTTTCCAACATACAATTTCATTGTTACATGCCAAAAAAGATCAGATCAGAATACCTAAAAGGCTAATATATTAGTGATGTACATATCACTTGCTGTGGTTTCAAGATGAGTGGTTTAGCACCCTTGTTCCCAGTAACTTGTCTAACCTTCCCACGGCAAGTCCACATTTAAAGACACTACTCACATACGATCTTTTTTCATCAATGACAGGATATTCTGACACCATTTATTGGCAGTCACTACACTAGCCTCTGAGCTCACTAGCGGCAAGAAACTGGTGAAAAATGTTCAAACATTAGAAAAGTTTAAATGTAATCAGGAATTTAAACTGCCTGCCACCTCACCCCCAACCTTATCCCCAACTTACCAATAGTTTGGTCAAGATCCTGAAGTAGCTTTAAGTTGCCTGAACAAAACTCTGGAGTCATATATATGACTCTGTACTGACCCCTGAAACATCAAGAAAACACATCACAGAAGGAAGAACTCCAGGCAACTCATCCAAATGAAACAATACCACGATTGCCTAGAAGATGTACATGAGAACAAGTACAGACTTCTGGATGGGGAACAAGAGGAAGCGAAGCCTGTAGAACACATTCCAGAACAGCAGGAAAACAGGGCAGGACACAGCATTACAGGGAAAGGCAGAGACAGAGATTTACTAGCCTTTAGACCAAGAAAGGACTGTTACGGTGACTTGCTGACAGGTCTAGGACCTGGGTAAAAATCACGTACAAATGGCAACACGAAGCTGAGTCAACATGCCCCATCTGCCCAGCCGGAGGGCACAAGAGGGGGGCTCTAGCCTCCCCCACGCTCCTCCTGGGTGAACGCAAGCGGCATCGCTGACTGCTGGGTTCCAGGTCTGAGCCAGAATCAAGAGTTTCAGCTCTGACAGATCAGGGAGACACCCTACCTCTCCAATACACCTACGTCAGAACCTGCACTCCCAGAAAACTTATTCAAGACTTACTCTTGGATGCAGTGTGTGACGTTTTTCGACTGAGCCGAACCAAGCAAGCACGCTGGAATGTCTGACATTCTGCGGAAATAAAAAGCAGAGTCACAAACAGATTTACTCTCAAGGCTTTCTGCCGCGGCTTTCAGCCTATGCCAGTAGTTTATAAAGCAAGTTCAAGCTCAAGGCGAGAGACTACTTTCTTCCAAGGACATTTGTGGGAAAAACCTTTTGGGAAAAAAAAAGAGGAGTTGTCAGTGACTACTCCAATCTCTTCCCCCCCAGCTGTCCCACACAGACTTTATTAGCACAATAAGGAACTGGAATAATAATGACAGTTTTCCTTGCACAAGAGCTCAAGTTTACTAATAAAACACCCAAAAGAAGAAAATACATGTAGTATATTTTCTTTACTTCTTATTTCAATGCACTTCATCACATTTAGATGTAAACCTTTCCAGCCTGCATTTTTTTTTTGCCTCACCCAGCAATCTTTTGTAACCCACTGGTGCCACCTCTGCTAATTTTCAACCAGGTGGCTGCTTTTTCATGACAGATTCAAGGCCAGGGTGGACAGGGCTTTGAGCAACCTGGTCCAGCGGAGGGTGTCCCTGCCCAGGAGTCTATGAGTTACATTTACCAGCTGAGCCATTTCATATTTGACCTCTTTTAGGGCTCCACAGTCCCTATTCTCTTAACTTGATGATTGACTGCATTGTATTACAACCCTTTGTTTCAACAGCTTGTCCTCTCTCCTCCCACCGTGTTTCAGTCCTCAGCACAACTGCACCCAGACTGACAAATTACCGAATTGCATTAGGTTGTAGAATTTCAGCCTTCAAAAATGAACTGCCCACCGCGAAGGTCGCGGATAAACCCTTTCCACTGAGGAAAACAGTATAAAAGCCAAAAGAAAAAGCTGAATAGATATAGACACCCTGCTGATTAATACTCGGTCTAGGAGCTGGCTATAGAGCCAGCCCAGGCTGTCCAGCCATTCATCCGCACAGTCGTGATGTGCAGCAGAAAATACCACACATAATTGATGTTCCTTAATTCAAAAAATCTTCATCTCCCCTCTTTCACAAAAGACTCCGTCTTTCTAAGCTAGACAAGGCAGGAACAGACTAGACAGCTTAGTATGATTCCCACAGCTTAAATGAAAACATGTCAGAAGTGACTACCTGTTATAACAGAAAGCAAGTACCCACAAAGAAAGCATTATCAGCTATTCCAGTTGAAGACATAGGTGTGGCGAAGATCAATAACTGCTCAGCAAAGAGCGATTCAGTGTCACCCACTAGTTGCCCCATCAGACCTTTGAAGAAGGCAAGAGGCCAGGTGTAGGAGACCTGCTACGCTGTCCGTCTCAAAAGTCCGTGTCATAACATAGACCTGAACGGCCTACAGCTTCCGGCCGTTCGTTGTTCAAATGTTACTTCTCAGACCCCAAGAAAGCTCTACCAAATATTGACATAATTCTCCAGCTCAAATAGCCGGTGAAGCTCCTCCATCAGTTCTGTCTGCGCAAAAAGGGCCTGCAAATCCAGAAATACTTGAGAAGGATCTACCTCCAGGAACCACCCACCAGCATAGATCCTTTACAAATTCAGCCTACAGTTCACGTAGCTGGCAAATCCTAACAAATCCAGCTATCTTAGACTATTTACACAGTTTGTATGCACTCCTTGAAACGTATGCTTTACGGCTGACACACAAACAGCCTGCCGTACCAAGCTGCTACCTTAAACACCAAGAAATGCCACAAGCAGAATCCGTGGGTTTCCACAGGAAATACAGCAACAGCTTGTTACTACCGTGTTACTTACGTCAGCTGCAGCACCTGGTCCTCCATCAAGGAGATCAGAGGACAGATGACAATTCCTGTATATCCAGTGTAAACAGGAGGAAACTGGTAGCACAAGCTTTTTCCATAGCCTTAAAGAAAAGAGGCAGAAGTGAAACATCATGCTTCGTATGCAGCTATAACATACAGCTACGTAACACAATCCTAAGACTTGCTGAGCCCTAAGAAAGCAATGCTTTTTCCACTCGTAAGGGAACAAAGATGCAAGATAAGCCCTGTCAGCACCCATCCAATACCCCCCTCTCCACCAAGGTCAGTGACAGAGGCTGAGACAGAAACACAAGCAGCCAACACGGCCGGCTCAGACTCACACCGTTTCCATCGGGGCACCCTGCTCCTATTGGCCACATGGACAGTCTCCAAGTTTCAGTCCTACTCTCCCCCAAAAA